ACGGGGCTTTCTCGCCCCGGAGCTCGCAGGTAGAAATCCGCCACCTCGACCTCCGGGGCGAGAAAGCCCCGTTCGTAAGTGCGGATCCGACTTAAGTCGGATCCGCGTAAGTCGGGGACTGCCTGTATAGTGCTAGTATTAAAATGTGAAACCTAATATGGCACAACAACGGCGAGTAGCAAGTTGTGAAATAGTCTTGCATGAATACTACTACTACATGTACACAAATCAAGAAATCAATACTTTCTCAGATGAGTTTACTCATGAGCAGCAAGCAATGAAGGCAAAGGAAAGCATTGCCTTCCCAAAAAGACAGGGGTGGCGCCATTCATGCTCTGCCCCAGGCCTCCTCCATCCTGTAAGCAGCACTCTGCTCTTGGCCTGATGGCTGGAGGGTACGGGGAGGTACCTGGAGGTCAGATCTGGCAGTGTGGTCTGTGTTTCACAGCTCCCCAGTGTTCCAGGTCTGGGAAAACTGCTGTCACATAGCTTCCCAGCTCCCTCTCCCCCAGCACTCCAGGGCTGGGAAGGCTGGGGCCAACTGGTGCTCCAGCCATCTAGGAGGGTTGGGGCTGCATGGTGCTCCAGAGCCAGGAAGGCTAGGGCTGACCAGCTCTTTGGCTGGCTGGAAGGGCTGGGGCCACGCTATCCATTGGGATGAGGCTAGGGCACCTGGGATTGCTCTGGGCTGGGGCCACTAGCCTGGGCCAGGGGTTGGCTGCTTACGTGGTGGACAGACTTAGCTCCAAAGAGGGGGGAAAGGTTCGCTGAAGGGGCAGGCCTAGAGGCTTGCCTTTCCCAGCTGGAGGTTCACCTACCACCCATGAGTTTACTGTCAAGTTATGAAACCCTCATTCCTATCTTTATTTGTACAGTTCTATGGGTCAGACTTCTGGGCATCAGGAAGGCAGATGGCAATTACCAGCAGATGCAGAAATAAACAGATTAACTTTAAAGCAGCATTTTGTATCCAGGGACAGTTGTATATTTTAAGCAAAGTACATAAAGACAAACAGAGTAAATATATTTGATTTATGAGTTCATCTGCTCCTGCTACTTATTTCTGGACTACAGTAATATAACTGATCTGACACAATTTTCCCAGCAATCAATTGTACTGTCACAAACAAAAAGCGGGAATGGTTAAAATTCAAAATGTAGATTTTATTTTCATGCTGATGACCCTAAGCAATAATAATGTGAACCGAGAAATTAAGGAAATGCGCTATCAAACACAATCAGATCTAAATAGAATGCTTTACAAGATGAACCAGTGAGTCCTGAAATTCAAATGACTATGTGGTACATAATGCCAGCTCCTGTGAAACAGATTGGCTACGTCTACACTGGCCCCTTTTCCGGAAGGGGCATGTAAATTTCACTAGTCGTCGTAGGGAAATCCGCGGGGGATTTAAATATCCCCCGCGGCATTTAAATAAAAATGTCCGCCGCTTTTTTCCGGCTTTTAAAAAAGCCGGAAAAGAGCGTCTAAGTCGTCGTAGGGAAATGCGCGGGGGATTTAAATATCCCCCGCGGCATTTAAATAAAAATGTCCGCCGCTTTTTTCCGGCTTTTAAAAAAGCCGGAAAAGAGCGTCTAGACTGGCCCCGATCCTCCGGAAAAGGGCACTTTTTCCGGAGGATCGGGGCCAGTCTAGACGCTCTTTTTCGGCTTTTTTAAAAGCCGGAAAAAAGCGGCGGACATTTTTATTTAAATGCCGCGGGGGATATTTAAATCCCCCGCGGATTTCCCTACGACGACTAGTGAAATTTACATGCCCCTTCCGGAAAAGGGGCCAGTGTAGACGTAGCCATTAGGTGTGAGAGGTATTGTAGAACAAAGAGAGAAGAAGATGATATTTTGGAGAGTGGACATTAAAGGTTTGAAGAGTGAGGGAAAGCAAGGTTAGAACATTTGAGGTGAGTTTATGATAAATGGTGTTTTAAATTGAGGGCTCAGACAATCTAATAATTTTTTTCTAAATTCCTCTCCCCTCCCCCATTTTTAACACCTATGTTAATTATAGGTGGGTGAGAAAGCGTTTGAAGAACACAATTTATATAAGTGAAAGGGTTTTTTTTATATTAGCAACATCAGGCTAGTGGAGCATTAACTTGGCACATTTTAACACTGTGGTTTGATCCAAAGGTTTAAAGACCTTTTAACAGAAGAAAGGACCATTACATCACCTACTTTGACCTTATGTATATCACATGCCACTATATATTATCCTGTTACCCTTGTATACTTTTGTTTGGGTATGGCTAAATAACATTCTCCATACAAGTAGGGTTGCCAGGTGTCCGGTTCTGATTGAAAAGAGACCCTGGCAGTTCCAGGTCTAGTCAGTGGCAGCAGGGCTAAGGCAGGCTCCATGCAGCTTCCCCAGACATGGCAACATGTTCCTAAGGAGATACAGCCATGGGTTTCTGCACACTAGCCTCACCATGAGCACCGGCTCTGCAGCTCCTGGTGGCTGGGAACCATGGCCAATAGAAGGGGGAGAGGTGGGGCGCAGTGCCTATGAGAGGGAAAAGCATGGCGCTCCTGGCCCCTCCAACTCAGGTACATGTCACTGTTTCCTGGGAGCTGCCTGAGCCAAGTGCCACCTGGCCAGATCCTGCATCCCAAACCCTGTCTAGCACTCCACCCTCCTCCTGCCCCAGAGGTTGCACCCAATCCCCCTCCCAGAACCTGCACCCAACCTCTTGACCCAATCCTGAGCTCCCTCTTGTACCCAACTCCATCCTAGAGCCTGAGTACACCCCCCTCTTGTGCCCTAGCCTCTCCCCCAGCTCAGAACTCCCTCACGCCTCCCACCCCCCAGCTTAGGCACCCTCCCTGAACCCCTCATCTGAGCCCCACCCCTCTCCAGCGCCGTGAAGACGAGTGAGTGTGGGGGGAGCGCTAGGGACGGGAGTGAGGGGGGGTGGGATGGAATCAGTGGGGCAGGGCGAGTCGAGGGCCGGTTGGGGCAAAGGCAAAGCAGGCGGTGCTGCCTTGATGTGAAGGCAGCAAGTGACAAAGTGTCCCCCACCCACTTCTCGGGGTACCCGGGACCGGGGGGGGGGAGGAAGTTGGGGAGCAAGAGGATTTGCTGAGCCCCGGCAGGTTCCTGCGCTGGAGAGGAGCCGGGGGGGAGGCGAGGCTGCAGGCGGGAGACAGGGCGGGTCTGGCGGCGGGGAGAGGCACCAGGGCTGCCCGGGCTGCGCCCCTCCCGCCCGGGCTGGGTCTTTCGCGCCGCCTCCCCGGGGCCAGCCCCGCCCCACGCAGGAGGCGCCGCCCGCCGCTGCTGCCGGGAGCCCAGGCGGCGAGAGCAGCAGCGAGCGCAGCAGCTGCCGGAGCGAGCCCCGGGACCATGCCCGCCGCGGCGCCTCCCCCGCTGCACCCGCCGGTGGGGCCCGCGGGCTCGTGCTGCCCCTACGCCCACCACCCGGGTAAGTGACCCCGGCAGCGCCATCGCCCATCCAGCCCCCTGGGCAGGGACCGCCCCCCGCCTCAGGGCAAGGGACCCCCTGCCTGCGCTGGGTCCTGCCCCCTCTCTGGTGCATTAGCTCCCAGCCGGTCCCCGGGGAGCTGTATGCTTCTGTTTTGCAAAGGGGAGCAAAAGGTCAAGAACCGTGTCCCCATCGCGCAGCGGGGCAGGGGAACTGGGTCTTGGATCAGCACTACGCTGTCCAGCTCACGTAGCACTTGAAAGACTAACAAGATGGTTTATTAGGTGATGAGCTTTCGTGGGCCAGAGCCACTTCCTCAGATCAAATAGTGGAATAAAAAAAAAGCTCATGTTGGGCACCCTTGATGGGGAGAAGATGGTGGGTGGTGGTGGCCCAGGGCTTAATTAAGTTTCAAAAGAGATGGGATATTGCGAACGGGATATTCGTATTAACCATATAAGAGGAAATATTACAATTAAGTCTCAAAGGCATAGTCATGTTAATCCGTATCTGCAAAAAACGAGTCCTGAGGCACCTTAAAGACTAGCAGATTTATTTGGGCATACACTTCCTTTTTAAAACCCAGTTCATCTCATGCATTGTTTACTCAAAACCAAATAAATCATATGGTAGTCTTTAAGGCATTATAGTTAAATAAGAGCTTTGGAAGGAATGTAAACACCCTCTCCCTGTTTTTCCAAACTTTGGGACAGAAGCCAATCCCTGATTACCATTGATTTAAGAAGAAACTTTCTTTAGCCATCACTTCCTATCACAGTTCTCTCTTCTGAGGCAGGTGGGACAGTCCACCCTCAGAATAGGATACAGAACTGGATCAGTCATGGATCTGTTTTTATGGCAGCTGCTATGTTACTCTGTGAAAATCCATGTTGTGCTTGATGGCTGCCCTACTGCAGTGAAGCCAAGCCTTTAGGGCAGTTTAAGGGAGTATCTGCCATGGAGAGGATGTGCTTGTATTTAATTTGGCCAGGGACACAACTGCAGGTTCTTGGTGTCTCTAAAGCCTCTGACTGTCAAAAACTGGAACTGGGCTACAGGGGATGAATCACTCGATAATCACCCTGTTCTGTTAATTTCCTTTAAAGCCATGATGTCCTGCCAGTTTTGAACATCATAGAGAACTAGCCACACTCAACTAGCCAAGTAGCCACATTGTTCAAGCCAACTAGCCACATTCAACTGGCCAAATAGTCACATGTGGCTATTGGGTAGTATGTTGGACACCATGGCTCTAAAGCGTCTGGTACTGGACACTGTCAGAAGGCAGATACTGGGCTAGATGGATTGTTGGTCTGAATCAGTATGGCCATTCTTTAGTTCTTCCCTCCTCACCCTACCAGAACTATTCTCCTAGTTACTTCCGCAGCTGCTTCCCTCTCCCCAAGACTTGAAGAATTTTTTTTATAGATGATTCCCTACTCTCTGAAGCTTCTAAATACTACAGTATTTTATCTATGAATCTCTCTTCTGGTTGTGAGTATTGTGATAAATCCCTGCTTCTCTGATTTATAATTGGATGATATCTCCGTATAGCTATAAAGCCAGCATTGTTGTTCATGAAATTTTGTTATATATAATTAAAGTAGTAGTTGCACCATGTATGGTGGGTTAAACAGCTCAAACCGTATAATAGAATATTATATAAAAGATTGGGGTAAACATTGGCATAAACTTAGGAGTGTCCAGCTAATCAAACTATGATAAATATTTTGCCTTTTTAAAATAATTGTCTGAAGCTGCTATCTCTGTCCATCTAAGAAGAATTAATACTATGTTCATTACTAAAGGATCTTTTCTCCACCCCCCCCCCCCAAAAAAAAAAGAGAGAGAGAAAGAAGTGATGTGATAAACAATAAAAGCCAGTGACGGTATTTAACTGCAGGGTCCACAGGAAATGGTGAAAAAGGCCACTTGATTTTTTTTTTTTTGCTGTGTCTTGCAGAAAATTTACCTTTTCCCGGGCTCTAAGGCCATTTAAAAAGTCATAAATGATATATGATAGTTTTAAATTCACAGGGTAAAATTCATGTTGTATTGTTCAGACAGGTATCAGCAGGGTTCCTTTATGTTACAATAAGAGCCCAAGAGTAGAAATTACTTGTGTCTGGAAACATTCAACCTCTTGTAGTATAATCTCTTTGCAGTATATGCATTAAAAGAATGTAATCCAGTGGACCGATAAAGAGCAAACAAGCTTTGTAAAATTAATTGCCTTGCTGTACAGAGATTTAGGTTGAACATACAATTGTGCAATAACATATTTAAGAATTGTGTACTAGCCTTCAGTTTTTAGTTGTCTTGGAAGTAACTAGCAGGGCAACCCTCATATTCAAAAGGTGGAAACACTGTCACATGCCATGCATGTCAAAAGCAGATTCTTGGACATAGGGTGTGGAGATACATGAATAAACATGTGGACAGAGTTTAAGGCTTTACTCTAGCACTGAACCCCTCTGATTCCCCTAGTTATTTCAGCTTACGAAAACAGAGTTAAATTTGTACACTATAAAAATGAATAGTTATATATGGACGTGGTTCTTTCATTTTTGTGTTATGGGGTTTCTTGAAGTTTCCTCAAGAAAATGTGCAATATCCTGTCAGAGAGAGAACACCGGAATAGATGGATGGATCATTGGTCTGAAGTGGTAGGGCAATTTTCTGCTTCTCTGATCACAACACATGAAAAACTCCCTAGTAATGATATTTTGTCCAAATATGCTAAAAGGTTCCTTAAAAAAAACAAAACAAAATGATAAAACCCTATCTTAGGAAAAATCACTCAATTTCAGAAGTGCCAACTATATTGTGGATTATTTCAGAATTTGCAGTATGGCTTAGAACCAAGAATTGTTTGTTTGGAGTATTTTTGCCACCTACTGAGACGCTTGTCCAATTCATGATTGTTTTGCTGTACTGCAGCTTCTGCTCTGACATTCTTTTCTGTCTGCCCTTCTGTGATTTTTGATTGTATGTTTCATGCATTCTTTTTCCATGGAGATTAGTCTGAAAAAAAATCAAAGGAATTAAATTATTCATAAAATAAGTAAAAACAAAGTAATTGAGACACAGGTAAGTTATTTTAAGTTTTTCTCTGTTTCTGGAGCTAGATAAGTGGGAACCATGGAGAAGTATTTGCAAATAAAAAAAAATTCCTATGCGCTGATGGTTTCCAAGGAAATACTTCCTGGCAGCAAAGGATGGGGCGGGAGGTAGGGGAGAAGAAGGCTTAGTTGGAAAAATGTAAACATGAAAGTGAATGTCCTAGAATAAATTAAAAATATTGGGGTAATATTCCCTTTCTGAAGTCAATGACATGGGCATCAAAGCACAATGTCCTTCCCCCATCTCCCTTACTTTTTTTCTAGCTATCCTTTCCCATCCTTTCTGTTTTTCAGGTTTTTTTTCCCTTCTCTCCCACTTGGAATGAAGTTTAATTCCTAGACATATTGGGAGCAATACACTTATGAGAATATAAAAAACAGCCTTCGAGTGATATAAAATGCTCAAAAAGGCTTCCTGGACTAAATTGTAAAATGCAGTTGTCATCTGTTCAACAGCTGTTCTATATTTCCCCTCTTAACCCATTCAGTTGATGCTGTCTTTTCCTTTTCTTGTCAGGAAACTGACAAATTCCTGACTGATGTAGACTGGGTGTGGTGGTATTTGGATCTGTTGATGGGTAAGAGACAGGGATTTCCTGATTGGAGGGGGGGAGGGTTAGATCAGGTTAGGATATGCTTGGGTTAGTCTCCTTGTGTCATCAGTGGAGTGCGCCTTTTCTTTAGCATTGCTTCCGTGAGCTGTGTTCCAACATTGCTGCTTCACCAGCTCCAAGGAATCCAAGGGAATATCCACATTGCTAGAGATAAATCAATTTCCCTTGTTCTGTCCTCATTCCATTTAGTCTAACATTGTAAGCATTAGCTGTTTGGCTTTCCACAGGGACAAACATGTGTGGAAAAAGTGAATAATCATACTTCAGTGGGTGTCTTTCCTTATCTTTCAACAGTTTTAGGTCTGATTGGTTGGGATGCTGCTACTGTTGTTACCCCCTGTGCTTTGTCTCGATTGTCACTGAAATACTTGAAAACATTCGAAGTCTGTCTATGTACTCTCAAAAATGTATTTAGCATCTGGGCAGTACTGTGAAATTTAATTTAGAGTATTATTATTGTGCTCCTTGGATCAGCCTATTAAAGAACTGATGCCTGGATCTGGGCCCTGAGGTTCAGGACTCTCCCAGTATTGGAGAACCCACACTGGTGCTCCAGCCACCTCACTACCCCATGGCAAAGCTGGAGCACACACAACCTACAAGGCTGGGCCCCCTAGGCTCTGGTGTGCAAGGGGAATTTCTCCTCAATCAGGGGCCACGTCACTGAGGGTTTATTTTGTATTTATTAATATTTTCCTTCTCACTTGTGTGTGGTCCCACAATTCATTTTTCTGTGTGTCAGCGGCCCCGCCCCAAAGAGGTTCCCCACTCCTGAACTAAAGCTTTAGTGAGGACAAGCCTGCCACTGCTGCTCTTGGATAGGTGGGCTATCCTAAGGGAAAATATCTTCTACCCGCTTAAGAAAAAATGAAAAAGGGAAATTACTTATGTGATTGATTCCAGTATGCACTTGAGATGTCCATGATACTTGGCAGTTGTTAACTTACCTAGAAGTAATTTGCCTTCATTGCAAATAAAAATCAGGTACATTTTCAAGCTTCTCTCTGTTTCTAATGTAATTTACTCAGTTTAATTATTGCAAGAATGCAAAGCAATTAACTGTGTTAAGTAGTCCAAGAAGCTTTCAGTAATCATTTTGAAAACACGATCTCCTACTCAATTAGTATTTGCCTGCTTGAAAAAAAATTGAAATTTGTCATTTTCATGCCATCCTAAACAATGAAGTTAATAAAAATATTTAGAAATTAATGGCTTGAAAAATCTTGATTTTTTTTTTTAACTCCGTCATTATACTTTTAAATAT